CATTGGTGAGAGTGAGGTGTTGAAGTCTCCTACTACATATGTATATTCTCTGATGTCTGTTTCCAGAAGTGATAATTGTTAATGTATTTTGGTACTCCTTCATTTGTATTGATGAGTATTACATCTTCCTGGTATAAAGTCCCCTAGATCATAATGTAGTAACTATCTATGTCTCTTTTCACCTGTTTTAGCTTGATGTGTTTTATCTGCTATAAATATAGCTGTTCCTGCCTTCTTTTTGGGTCCATTTGTTTGTAGAATTGTTCTCCAGCCCTTTACCTTACGTATATGTTTATCTTCTGCAGTTAGATGTTTCCTGGAGGCAACAGAAGACTGGAATCTGCTTTATAATCCAGACTACTTTGTGTCTTTTTATTGATGTATTTAGTCTGTTTTCATTTAGGGTTATTATTGATACATTAGAGTCTGAACTTGCCATTATGTCTATCATTTTGTGGTCTTATTCCTCACCATATTCTCTTCTTCCTAGTCATTCCTCTTTCAGTTTGGCTTTAGGTCTTCCTGTATTATTTTTGGAGTGGGGGTTTAGTGGTAATGAATTTCTGTAGATTTTGTTTGCCTGGGAACATCCTTATTTTTCCCTCAAGAGGCAGAAAGTTTTGAAAGGTAACATATTCTTGCTTGGCATTTTGTGTCTTAGGGATTGTTGAATATGTCACTCCATTCTCTTCTTGCCCTAAGGGTTTCTTCAAAGGAGTATGATGTCAGCTTAATTACTTTTCCTTTATAGGTTACCTGTCTCTCCCCCCTCATCATTTTCATTATTAGCTCCTTGTCTTGGACTCTTGGAAACTTGACTTGTGTTTTGCTGTAGTTTTTCTGTCATTGTGCTAATTTCATGTTCTTCTGTCTTCCTAGTGCCTGGGCCACCGTGGCCATGGAGTTGGCAGCCTGGGCCAAGGCTTCAGTTGCCCATCTGTGGATGTCTGGGGGCCAAAGATGTCATAGGGCAGGGTGCTGTGGGTTCCAAGCTGAGCTCCTGTCTAGGCTGCACAGTGTAGGCTGGCTTTGTGGGCAGATGTCCCGGATATGCCAGGAGTACAAGACCATGTTTTCCTTCCATCCTATGTCCCCTTATTGCTCTCTGTGTCCTGGTGAATTGCTGGCATCCTCAGGCTGGCCCAAAGCATATGGCTCCATGAAGATCTCATTGCTAGTCCTTTTGATTAGTTGTTTATGAGAGAAATTAGTCTTAGCATCCCTTCGCTGCCATGTTGATGTCACCACAACTAAGATTTTAAGAGAGTAGAAATCTAGTGTGTGTATGTGTGCGTGTGTGTGTGTGTGTGGTGTCACACCCTAAGGAAACCACCCATCACGTTTAGCACTGATGACTTGTTAAATCACAAATCATCCTACCAGAAGCTGATACCCTGAAGATGATGCCCAGGATTAGACTTTAAATATTTCTCAAAGCAGTTAGAGCATCAGTTTCTAAACATGACATTTAGGGAGATCATAAATGATAATGGTTTCATGGCCTAAAATACAATTAAAAACTGAAAAGTTTGTACACAATGAATCATTATACCAATAAAAATTATTCTGTTATTTTGATGACTGTGGGAGCAGAGACTATAATGACTTTGCTTGAGTTTCCTCTCTGAAGCTGTATGATTCACAGACGCATCAGTGGTTCAGTAGTGTCTTGAACTGTGGTTAAGATGTTTTGGGTTCAACAAAAGAAACTTTTGCCAAATCTTTCTTCCCTTAATTTTTAAAAATGTGTTTTTGTAGGGAAATTTGATTCATGTGTTTCTGATTCATTTACACTTAAATCATCTTATTGTTATTTTGTAGGAGTTATTTGATGTCCAAAAGCCTTTCTGAACCTGTTTTATAAGTCCTCTTAAATATTTTTCTTAAAACAGAAAGCCGCATTTGCCAAGTACAAATAAACTGAAGCACTAGATTCAAGTTCAGTTTCCAATGCTGAACTCTAGTTTTTAAGTAACTCTCCATTTAGTAAAATATGTTTTCCCATCCTTACAAAAGCTTGAGCAAAAAGTTCAAACTTTTACCTGGAACAAATGTAAAAGTACTCACTGGCATTATCACTATCAGTGATTTATTTAGTATGAAAGTTCATGAAATCTATAATACGTGTTCCTAAACTATTTGATGCAGGTGAATTGCAAAAAATAAAATGTCTTCATATTGATGGTCTGTTGTATCTACATATGTTTAATGTTTTTCTAATAGGAAAATCACCTAAAATTGTCAACATTTTAACTTTTTAGTTGTTTCTCCTTTGATCGCCTGTGAGTCTTAATAAATATGGGAAGAACTAACACATTTTGTTGAAAAGAAAGCATGCATAAAATTCCCTATGTAAGAGTTTTATATTTGCACTAAGATGTGGAACATAACCAGTAAAAAAAATATGTTATCTTAAAATTTATCTCTGACTTATACAATTTGTAAATACAATTACATATTTTATACATACAATTTATATATTACCCTTATTTCTTAATGAAAATATGGTTCAGTCTGAGTACTTTGTCGCTAATTCATTTTTACATATAGGAGACAGAAAGGTAATTATGAGAAGGGTTGGGCACTATTCTAACCAGTTTCCTCAATATTCCACTTTGAGTTCTCTGCAGTGTTTCTGCTGTAAATAGTCAAATGACTTCATAGGCGATTTATATTTAAGTGTTACTTGAACTGTTGAACTTACCTGTAGAAATTATCATTTGATGACTACCAGGGAAATTGGTCAATCAAATAAAGCTGGTTTATTAAAGTTACTAAGTCTGGGAGGCAGGAACTTGAAAGTCTTTGAAGCGTCTCAAATGATGGAATTTAGGGAAGAGAATTGTAAATTGGGGCTGTGATTAGTCACAGGATTATGTTAAGAGAGAAGCTAATGAGGGCTAGACAGTACTGATAGGCTTTGTTACAAGGGGAAACTGGGATATTTGTAGTCCATGAAGAATTACCTGATTCATTTTACTAAACTAATCAATGCTAAGCTTGTGCTCTCACTTAAAACAAAGTCTGAAAGAGCTGGTATTAAAGTACATGTTAAATAAGTATTTAATTATTTGTGACTCACTTGTCTAAAGAGAATTTGTGCACCCCAAATATTAGTTTGATGTACTATCAATAAAATTTATAAAGAATCGGGGGTTCCTGATTCTTTATAAAATAGGATAATGCTAATCTCAATTTTTTAACTTAAGGCAGTTTTCTTGCCCTCATAAAATTCACTATGTATAGTGTCAAATTGAGGTTTTGGTCTTATTTCTCATGACAAACAAATATCACAAATAAAGTTTAACACAAGAAGAAAAATGTATTGTTATAATTTTTAAATGGTAAGTTATAGTTTAAGAAATTAAAAAGTCATGACTTTATCCTTTTTTCAGACAATATTTAAAGTTACTTTAGATTTGTCAGATTTACCTCTGCATCTATACTGATATATGAATTGTTATTTTCCTTTATGACTATGTTTTATTAGCTCTGAAATGTGTATATTAGTAGCAATAAAATACCTCTGAGATTTTATATTATAAGCTATTTTAAGTTCATTAAAGAAGTATTTATGCCTCACTTCTAAGAAGAATTTGTGCACCCAAATATTAGTTTTATGTGCTATTTAATAGTACCAATAAAATTTGAAAAGAGTCAGGAATTCCATTTTGTAAAATAAAATAATGCTATCCTCATAGTATTTTTTTTTAAATGTAAATGCATTTTTAGAGAAAGAAACCTTGTGTAAGAGAACTCAAAGGTGAAGATGGAGTAACCAAGAACTGCTGAGGTACACATGCAAATCTATTATTTAAGATAAAAATCTTGTAGTTATGTCCACAGATGGATATTTAACAATCTTCCATTGTAAATCTTAATCTGATCACTTGTAGTCTACAAGTGTAGACTATTTTAAAAGTTAAATCATACATGCTTCCACTGAGGCTTGTCATTTATTAGATAATGGCTGTTTTATGTTTAAATGTACCTCCATTTATGTTTAAATAGAGAAGGATAAAATTGGATAGCGAGGGGTAAACTGATACAATATGTACACATGTTGCTTCTTAACAATGAACACCTAAAACTTTTATAATAATGCAATGCTGCTTCAATTAAAAAAGGTTTAAAAAATAGAAATGCCCTTTATAAAATATACATTTTAAATGTTCTTATTTTCCATTAGTCTCTGTTAAAAATCAAAAGCAGAGAATAACCTAATTTATCAGCTCTTTCTCTTTAACAACTTCATTAAATAATGACCACTATAGCGACTTTGTTCTGTCTTCCTTGTGCTGGTGTTTAGCCAACTTCAACACATAAAATTCTCTCAATGACCTTGAGAGCTAGGCCCAAGCATCGCCACTATTCTAAACACAAGGAAACTTTGGACACAGACAAGTCCCAGATTGCCACCACATTTCCATCAGAGGAGGACTCTATACCTTTCTACTGGCCAAACCATAAGCTGAAGAAATTCACCTGTAAATATTGCTTTTTCTTTTGTGTTCTAATGTTTAATTCTAAACTTTAGGAAGAACCAATTCATAGACAACCCCATAAGATTTTTTAATGGAATTATCAGAACTTTTGCTGTTGGTTGCTAAAATAAAGCATGTCATAGCTTTCACTGTCAGAGCTTAACCCTTTGATGTACCAAGTTCTACTTAAGTTCCAAGGAAATTAAAATACTACAATGCAGAGGAATCCCTGATCCAATAGGCCTCTTTGAAAAATGGTATTTCTAGGTAGTTCATTTTCCAGTTAATATTGTGTCTAATGTGAGCTGGTTAATTACCACTTCAATCAGAAAATACATGTCAAGGTGATTACTTTTGCATAGCTCTGCAGTTTGAAAAGTAATTGTGTGACTTCTCACATGAAATGTAATGACCAATTTTCTGTAATGACCAGAAAATTGACTTTGTTTTTTGAAGACTTTGATGGACCAGTGCTGCTCCTTAACCTGTATGTGTCCATTGTTTTTTCCTCTCCAGGACTGTCCACCGGAAGCAGGTGATTTCCGAGCTCAACAATGCTCAGCTCATAATGATGTCAAGCACCATGGTCAGTTTTACGAGTGGCTTCCTGTGTCCAACGACCCTGACAACCCATGCTCTCTCAAGTGTCAGGCCAAAGGAACATCCCTGATTGTCGAGCTTGCACCAAAGGTCTTAGATGGGACTCGCTGCTACACAGAATCTTTGGATATGTGTATCAGCGGATTATGCCAAGTAAGTGCTGATTTCTTCTGTTTTTCTGGAGGGCTTTAGCATGTCTGTATAATTAGCTTTTGCATAGTCTTGCTATTGGAATTATGCTTTTCTAGAGAATATAATTAATGATAAATTTGAAAACTGAGGTATAATTTTAGCTAAATCAACATTGTATTTTGTGTTAAGCTGTGGGATGGAACTTTTTTCTTCTCTCCTTTGATTATGGAAGAATAATTCTAGAATAACATGACAATCTGCCCTAGACTTTTGTCCTAGAGTCTGGAATTTTCTCTAGTTCCCCCAAAATGCATGTGTGTGTGTCCGTACCCATGCATGCATGTGTGTCTGTGTGCGTGTTTGGAGGCATTGAGTTTCCTTGAGCTAGAGCTTTAAAATCACTAAGGTGAGGTTGACTAAATTTTTCAAGGAAGCTGTAGGAGAACTTTGCTTCTTCGTTGTAATTATAGTTTTGTTAAAAATTCAGCCAAAGGGTAATAAAAGCATGGCAGTGTCACTCAGCTCAGGATTCAGCCAGGTTAATCTTTAAACAAAGTGAGCAAAGAGTTTGATTTCTGGTATCGATTCACTAATGTCTACTTTGGGTGAGGAGTTGGCCAGGTGTGGGACAATTCCCATGTTGGCCAGGTACTTGTCATCTTGATCTGAAAGGCTGCTTTTTCAACAGCGATGACCAGCTTAGTTTTGAGAGCAAGCAGTTACAGCTTCTTTTTTGTGTGCTCTACTTGGCTGTAGACATTTATATTTCAAAGTAAACATTTAAGAATCTCTACTTCTGTCAAATTGTTGGTTACATTTTTTTCTCTCTTCAAAATTTCTAATGTGTAAGAACATAAAACACATTGAGTAATTTGTTGTTTCAAATTTATATATTTACTAAAAACATCTATGCACAGACAAATGGATTAGCTATAGTCCAAAGTGTGTAAGAGAGGTGTATAAAAGATGTGAGATGTCCTGCAAAATTTTATGTATATGAGAGGAAAACAAACATACTAAAACTTTGAAGTCTAGCCTCACATGGAGAGACACTGTGTCATGTCCAGTTGTTTCTCAGATAGGAGAATGTGCATGTCAGTTTTCTTTACATGCAAGAGATATGTGAATATTAGATATAAATTTGAGTATTGAGTGTTACTGTTTTAAAGCTATGAAAGGCCTAAGAGTTTATCTCATCAACATCTAAAAAGGAAAAATGTGAACATCATTTGTGATATTTGGTACTTGCTGCTTTTTCTGAGATTCTCAGTGGTATTGCAATAGAATTATGAAATATGCAAATGCTTTGGGAATAAGAGAATTATAAAACAAATATACATAGAAAATGGGCTCTGTCTTAGGGAAATGAAATAACAGTGATTTCTTTTGCATGCACATTAAGTAAAATAAAACAGATTTCCATTTTGTAAATGAAAAAAAACTGAGAGGGGTATGATTTTCTGAATGCTATATGTATGCTTGGTCATGGCAGAAAAGGGTCCAGATTCCAGGTTATTAGATATCTAACCCAATATTGTCTATACTATATTATGCTTCCTAAATAAACAAAATAGTTCAGCAAATAAAGTTTCATTGGTTTCTGTGGCATTTTGTTCTCCTAGTCTACCAGCTGGGCTCATGTAGCTGGCAACTGAAAGGGAATCCTATTTCAACAGCAAAAGAGTAAATTTAATACTGAATAAATATGGAGTGACAGTACATGACTTGAGTTGCAAATATAAGTTGCCTCCTTTACTGAGATTCTTATGGGTGTAACTTTTTCAAATTTAGGACAAATGCAAGTTAGAGAACACTGAAAAAGAATTCCATCCGTTTATAGAAGTTATGATCAGTTATCATTAGTTTCTTCATTTATTTGTCCTGTTAGAAGCAATAGAATAATAAAGGAGAATAAAAAGCTCAGATAAGTGAATAAAGCACTAGCAGATAGTTTCATTGGGCTGGAAAGCAAGCTACTCCTCCAGTAAAAAAAAAAAAAAAAAAAAAGAAGCTAGATTACTAC